TGTAGGTGCAGAGGGCTTGGGCACCTGGCAAGCAGTGTGTGAGCTTTGAACAGCAGGGGAGATGATCTCTTCTTTGACAGTGGCCACACAAGGGTTTGCTTGTTGAAGGTTGGCTGGACATACTGTGGGTTGCACTGTAATCTCTACCCTGTCAAAGTGGGCTTTCTTTCTGTGAGAGACTGCACCTTTGTTACCTATGTCCACTTGGTAGGTAGCCCTAGCTTGAGTGTCATCTGCCTGAAAGTTGGGGTCAGCTAAGTCAGCAACAGATCCATTGATATCCTGGACAGTGTTTAGAAAGGCAGATGACTGGATTTCCAACTGCACATCAACTTTGGGGTTAGCAACACAGAAGAGGTTGGCCAAGCCCTGGGAGGCTGGGTTGCATGGAGCAGCAGGAGTTGTGCACATGCACTGGCCTGGTCTCTGTCAGCCATGACATGGTCAACAGCATCATTCAGTGAGTCACATTCAGGGAAGCACAGAATTCTGCTTCCATCTGCAAGATAGAGATGGTTGTCAGTCCCACATGTGATCTACCAGTGTAAATATAGACTTCAACAAGCACACACATTCTCATCCAGTGGTTTGGGTCTGCACAGAAACTGCAGCCAGGTCTGTGTTGTTGTGGCAGGCACTTTGTTTGGAAGTTGTATTCTTGCTTGATGACAGTTCTGGCAGGTGGCACTGGTGGTCTAGGGAAGTCTACAGTATCCCAGGTTCTTCAGGAAATCCAACCAGAGAGGTCTAGGCTTCATGGTGGTCACCCTTCCAAGCTTTCCTCTACCAACAAGAGAGCTATTGGTCAGAAAATCCTTACTGGCAAGGCCAAAAATGCTGTTCAAGCCACTCATTTCATCAACTCTATTGTTGATAGTCCTGTTTCTTCTCAGACAGTGAGAAATACCCTCAAAGAAGCCTCATTGAAGGCTGTGGTGAAGAAGAAAAAGCCATTACTTTCTACTGGTCACAAGAAGAAGAGGTTAGCCTTTGTTCTTGAGTATCAGCATTGGACTGTGGAGGACTGGAAGAGAGTTATATGGTCAGATGAGACCAAAATCAACAGGATTGGGTCAGATGGACAAGAGTATGTGTGGAAAAAGAAGGGTGAAGGGCCTATTTCCAGAGGGGTCAAAGGCACAGTCAAGTTCAGAGGAGGTTCACTCATGGTTTGGGGATGTATAGGGTGGAATGGTGTTGGGGTCTTGAGTGAGGTTGAGGGAAGGATGGATGCTGAACACTATGTGGCTGTTTTGCAGGAAGGGTTGCTTCAAAGCATGGAAGAATCTGGAATTCCAGAAGATGACATTATCTTTCAACAAGATAATGACTCCAAGCATACTCTAGAAGAGCCCAGAAATGGTTTGAAGAGCAGGATATCAAGCTTCTAGACTGGCCTGCACAATCTCCAGACTTCAACCCAATTGAACACATTTGGAATCACCTCAAAACATTGCTCTCAGGTTATGAGAGTGCTCCTACAGGAGTTCATCAATTATGGGCAAGGGTGGTAGTGGAGTGGGGGAAGATTTCTGTGGAAGAGTGTCAAAAATGGACAGAAAGCATGCCTAGAAGGGTTGAAGCATTTATCAAGGCCAAAGGAGCTCATACCAAGTACTAGATAGTTGGATTTTTATAAAGTCAAAACACTGTCTACATGACATGTCAAATTCAAATGGTTGCTATTCTATCAATTCCTATCCAAATCACTTAATTCTTGGACCCATAGAAAGCCAAGAGTAAGTATGTTTTTCATACACTCATAGTTTAGGGCTAGGGTTAGGCATTATTGCATTTAGTCATAACTAGTGTAAAACATGCAAACATGTGGACAGTTTTGTGTGCCACTGCACAGTCACATGTAATGGCTGTGATTTTTTTCTGATAGCATCCAGGGGTGCCCAGGGGAGTTGTGTATGAGAGCCGCATTTCATGTTGAAGTTCACTCTGTGCTACTGTGTGATGCTGCAGCAGCTATCACACTGAGAAAAACACTGTTTTGTTGCTACAGTCAGGGACAAGCAGCCACATCAAAAAATTTGTCTGATTTTTGCTGGATTACACATGCAATGGAGGCATCCCTAAATCACATAAATAGTTTATTTAGGCTTAGTTTATCATTTTTGCATGAGCCAATTCTCTTAAAAATGTACCCTTAATGTCAACTAGTGTCCAAAAATTGACACACTGAAAGAAAAATAGCTAGAAATACGAAAAAATATGCATTTGACTCGTTTTACTGAACCAAACATGTTCCTGGAATGGAGAGCTGTTATGGGTCATGGTGCAACTGTAAAAAAAAGATGTTGAACTCCAAACTATACCCGAAGATGCCATGTGGACACCCAAAGAAGCAGCCCAGGACTCAGAACATCTCTGGACTCCATGGCCAGAACCATGCACTGTCTGTTAATTCAGATGCCACATCAGATGATATCAATGAAATGATGAACAAAGAACCCACCTATGTTGCTCCAAGCTCAAACTTTGGTATTGAGGAGGGAAATAATGTGCTAAGTGACTTGGAATCAGATGCAGATGAAGAAGCTGAGTGGAGCATCCTGGAGGATGAGGAGTTTAGTCAGAAGCTGGCAGAAATGGTTCAGCAAAAAGAGGAGGGTGACCCAGACTGGATTCTGGATTGGCTGCAGTGAAAGAGGAAAATGGCATGTAAATGTGAGCACATGGTTCCATAGGGCATCTGCATTAATCGAAGGCTCACCTTTTACAATACAGCATGCCTGAAGACCTACAAAAAAGGTCCAGATGTCATGAGTTGTCTGGACACAGCAGCAGTACAGAGCATACTGGAAGGGTCAGTCTTTATTGGACTCCTTTGGATTCATGAAGAATGCCACACCTCCACTTGCAACTCCACATGTGGATAAACCAGTGGGTCAATATTTTCAGAGGCTCCATCAAAGTACATAAGCTGATAATTGTGATCTACAGTCATCTTCAACACCTTGTGCACTAGTGGTGCCACAAGTCTGCAGTGTCTCCATGGTCTCAATCTCTGTCACATCCAATGAGTCAGAATCTTCAGATAGCAATGACTTACATGGCAGTGAGACAGGCATGGAAGGCATGGGTGACCTAGACAGCAACCTCATCACTGAGGATAGCAGCATGTCAGAGATGGAGAATGAAGCATGGGAAGATGAACTTATGATGACATTCATGAGCCACAATACAATTCATGACTGGAGTGTCCTCTGAGAGCAAATACAACAAGATCTGAAGAAACACGAGCATTTAGTGCTCTCTCAAATCAATCAGCTCATGATCTTATCACACTTTGCAACACTTCAAGTCAGGGGTGTCTCTCAAATTGCAGCCAGTTTGGAGATTGCATGACTGTGGCATGATCCTGGAAAAGGCTCTGGTGCATGGTTCAGCTATCATGTCCATGCACTTGCACATCATTATCAGCTGTTCAAGCAGCTTCCAGAGGAGAAATGGGGTTTCCTCAATGATGAATCAGTGCAGCCTCATTGTTGGGCATGGTTATCAAGCCTTCCCACTGAGCAGGTCACATCCTGTGCATTCCAAAATGCTATCAACTCCAAAATATTTCCTGAGCTTGGAATTGTTCCAAAGCCAGCAGTCAGCAAGCAGACTGTACAGTATGTCATTGGCTGATCAAACTTGGTTGGTGACACACAGCTGTGTGCAAAGGTGTCTACATGGATGGGCATGGGCATGAAGATGTGGTAAAGTACTGCAATGAAGTTTACCTGCACAAAATGCAGGAATTTGAATACCACATGGTCCAGTTTGATGGACCAGAGCTCACAAAGATTGAGCCAGACCTCAGGCCTTGTGAACATCAACTCAAAGTCTACTATCACAATGAGTGCTCCTTCCATGCAAATGACAACACAAATAGTGCTTGGTATGTTGTACTGTTTCTGCAGGGCACTGTTTGGACTCACACATTTGCAGCAGGCTTCATTGTGATGAACACATTCTGTGGAAGAAGGGAAGAGGTTGGATTATCCATGTGTCAGATTTTATCAATGAGGAAGATGGCCAGCTTACCTTGTGTGATGCTGAAGGATCATCAAAGATGCACAAAAGATTATATAACCTGGTGCCAATGGAGATGCATGGTGGACACATGATAACTTGCTCACACAGATGTGGTATGCTATCCAGATACATGAAGAGGTCTGTGGCCCAGGTGTCCAGGCATTATTCATCTTTGACAACTTGTCAGCACATGCAACACTGCCTCCAGATGCATTGCATGCATTTGACATGAACAAACTGAATGGTGGAAAGCAGAGAAATCAACAAGATACCACTATTCCTCACTTGAACCCTGATCCTACAAAATGGGGACTTCTCCAAAGGATGACAACACCCACAGGAGAACCAAAGGGTCTCCAGGCAGTACTCAAAGAGCAGGGCTTTGACCTTGCAGGGTTGTGGAGTAAGTGTTCACCTGTGTGCCCATTCAAAAGCCAGCAGTGCTGCATGGCATGCTTGCTGAGTCAGTAAGATGACTTCTGCAACCAGACATCAATGCTCAAGAAGCTGATACAAGATGCTGGGCACATTTGCTTGTTCTTGCCAAAATTCCACTGCAAACTCAATCCAATTGAGATGGTAAGTTTTGAATATTCTCATTAATACATATGGTTGATATGTCATTGTTAGTATTAGGGGGGGGTCTAAGTACTGCTATCAGCAGGCAACAAAACCAAACTTCACTGAGGTGAAGGAAGCAGCAACAGACATCCTCAATTCATGTCCTGTTGAAGTCATCTGGCACTTTATCAACTATTCACACTGATTTTTGAGTGCTTACAGACTGGGGCTTACGGGACATGCTGCAGAATGGGCAGTACAAAAGCAGAAACAGCATTGCCAGGTATCACAGCGAGCAATGATGGCCATTGAGGCAGTCCTTAATCCATAGTGTATATCAACCTGGACCCTAGGCATGTAGATATTCTTGTTCAAACATCTGAAAAATTTGGCAGCTGAAAAATATCATGGGAGGCACTTCGTAAGTATCTTTTTGGATGTATTTTGGCTCACTGGATCCGAATCTGCCATTAGTTTGGTGTAAAAATTCCTCCTTCTGCCGTTACCAAATTGGTGGGCTTTGCTTGTCCCCGACTGTAGTTGGGTAATTTGTTACAACATGTACTAGGGCTACCTTTGGGGTCCTCTTCGGCAATCCCCACCGCGCGGGGTGGGGTTTGAAATATAGGGTACCAAATACATGCACATTCTTGAAACCTTCCAGGGAAAGGTTGCGTACCCCTGTTCGATAGGGAGGCCGCGTGGCGCATTTCCTTCTCTTGTCCCTCACCAAACGACCCAGTCGACTCGCGTTCCACCACTTACAAGTAAGTCCTTTAGTATTTTCCTAATTTCGTCTCGTACTCACCTTCTTGTTTCCCCCTCTCGTCTTCCAGTGGTTGGCTTAGAAGTTCCGCAAGAATTTCTCGACTTGTGCTTCGACATCGCGAGGAAATTTCATAACTATCCCACTATCAATACGAGTTCCAAGTCTGACTTCATCTCAGACGACAGTCCCCCTACTTCGCCCGAGGACGCTGACGTCGATCCAGATGCAACGACGTATTACCACGGCTTGCCTTCGAAACCCACCTTGGTCTTTCGTACGGGGCCCCCGTCGGAGAAGCAAACCGGCCCTGAGACATACCTCGTGAAGAGGGAGATCAGGCCGGTCTTCGACGACAAGTTCGCGGCCGCATGGGAGGACGTGGGTACACACGTCTACCAATACCTTGACTCTGCCACTGTCAAGTGGACGACAATCGATGTCGTCCGCTTCGCCGAACCCGGAAAGCACGTCGGTCCCATCGTTCTATGGGTCGGTGTCAGGCCTGGGTCTCTCTCCCGCAAGCTTGCCCAGGTTGCGGCCCTTGCCTGCGAGAATATTCTCCTCTCGTTTCAGATCGTCGGCGTGGAGATAGCGTTTCGTGAGTCAGTCTTCAGGCGGTTCGGCCCTAGGCTCCTAAACTACGTCGCCACTGCAAACCCAACCGCCAGCGTTTGCAGTCCTCTCACCGCGGCACTCGGTCTCCGCATAGCATCGGTCTTCACTCCGTACGCTGAGGGCACCGGCGCTCTCTACCTCTCCACAGGCTGCCACAGCGAGACGGTCTACGTTCTTACGGCCCGCCACGTTGTCTTGCCACCCAAAGATATTCAGAACAAGCTCTATCACCGTACGCACAACAGTCAGCGCCGTATTGAAATCATGCTCCCCGGTCCCATGGCCTTCCAGGGCGTGCTCACGTCTGCTATGGTCAAGATCGCCGATGACACCATCATGGTGGACTGTTACCAAAACCAGCTTGACGTACTGAAGAACAGGGAGGAGAGTGGGGACACGGACGGCGTCGAGGCAGAACGGGCGGTGGTCGAGCCTAGATTGAGGGAGGCGAAGGCATCGATCAAGGTGATCAACAAATTCCATAGCGATGTCACCAAGGTCTGGAGCCAAGAGAATCATCGTGTCATCGGCCACGTCCTTTATGCTCCTCCTATTACTGTCGGCGCCGGCAGCAAGCGCTACACCGAGGACTGGGCCCTGATCGAGCTCGACCGCAACAAGATCGGCTGGGCCAACTTCAAGGGCAACGTGATCGACTTGGGTACGTTTTAGTCTATTTCATGAAGTCCGTCTATGCTCATTGCTCTACCCAGGCACGGAGATTACGCCAGGCAAATTTACGTCGATGATGGACCCCGACCCCTCGGCCCCCTCGTTTAATTATCCGTACGACAGACTCTTTCCGATTCAGGGCGTCGTCCCGGAAGATGAGCTCGCTCGCCCGCGAATGCATGACGCAAACGGCGAGCCATGCCTTCTTCTCATCAAAAACGGCGCCGCGACGGGCACGACCATTGGCCGTGGCACTGGCATCAAATCGTTCGTGCGCGACTATTCTTCAGACGGCACTGAGCAAACGTCGATGGAGTTTGCGATTCTCGGGAATGATAGAACCGCTGCGTTCTCCGCCCGAGGTGACTCTGGTGCCATTATCGTCGACGGGAAGGGACGTGTCGCCGCCCTGCTCACCGGTGGATCCGGCCGGACGCAATCTACCGATATTACCTACGGAACTCCTTTCGAATGGCTCTTGGAGCGTATCAAGGCCAAATTCCCCAACGCCCATCTCTACCCTACCATGGCTTAGGCGTCGCGACGTCGACCTGCAATGGAGACGTCTCGATCTTGTTTAGGTCCGTTTCGAAGCATGTTCGGACATTGGATTAGCCTCGTAAAGTAGCATCTGGTTTTCTCTTATAACATAATCGCGTACTACTGTATTCCCCTCCCCCAAGATAACTTGCACGAACATTGTAAATCCCCTCCCCCACTCCTCTACCCCTTTCGATAGCTGTACGTTGGATCAACAATGGTGATTTTTTGTTTCCCTTACGCGCGCGTGATACAGTAAAGTTTGATGCCTAGGTAGGATTGACTTCGGCACATAGTGCTCGAAGCTTCATTCTCCGACACAAGAAATGTCCTGCAAGAGATCGTTGGGGCCTTGGAAGGAGCCTTAGATTCAATTTGATTACAATCTCATTTCAATTAGAAGTTTAATTGTGGGCATTGCAATTGGTTGCAGTGCATTGAAATTGATATACAAATTTTCTGCCAACTAGTACATGAGGATAGGGCCATTTTGCACAGCAGGCACATTGTTGGCCTCATAGCTAGAAGTTTAGACAGGTAGTGGGGTGTCAGCACAAAGCCATCTTGTCTTTGACATTGATGACCTACATGCCAGCAATCTTGCAATTCAACATTCATTTCAATGACATCACTGCTATACCAACCTCTCATCAACCATGACTACCCCCTAAATGCACTGTCATTCTCCCATACCCAACCAACCTGACCCCAAAACCTGCTGAGCTACAGCCAGTATGCCAAGCCAAGGACTGGCTAGAGCAATGGCAACTGCACCCTGGCATCATGCAGTTGCCAGACATCCCACCAGATGTCCAAGACTATGGAAAGCCAGACAGTCACACTCAGGTACATGGTTGGGGATGTGCTGTACATCTACTGCATTTGGTAGTTGGCCACCTTGGGACCTGGGACAGCCCCAGAAAAATACACATGGGTGTTTATAGATATTTATGCAGACTCTGCCGAGGTCAAGTCCAAGTGATGACATTCTAGTTACCATAGTACTACATAATGTATCAAGTACCACAGGTACTTGCCTTCCACTAATACCATGCCTTGCTGGGAGAGCATCAGTGCAAAAGTGTGCTCAGAATCACTGCTATTCAGGGCATTGATGATCATATCAATTGCCAGGCAGTACTGTGAAAATGAACCTTCAGTATCTTGGCAGCTGTTGAGCACACTCTGGAACTTCAATTGCAGCTGCTTGTCGAAAGCTGAGACTGAAGCTTCACATTATGTAATTGTGTAGCCACCTCTCATGGAGCACTGCCCACCCTTGCCACCTGCTGTAGATAATTCTATAGCCACTGGTCCGCTTTTTGGCTTTTTACCCCTATCTCATTTCTAAGCTATTCAGGGCCACTAATATACTCAACTAAGTGTTCAATTATGCTCTAATATACTTATACTTCATGTTAATGATCATATATGATGCATGCCAGCAGAGGATAGAGCCCAGTATGACAAGGGAGCTGACCCAGGGGACTACAGGGCAGTAGGGTGGGAAATCTCAATATATACCAAATGCGGACATGGGTTGGGAGTAGTGGTGGGCCAGCAGCATTTTTAACTTGTCAGTGGCTATGGAATTATCTATGGCAGACTGGCAAGGGCGGGCAGCACTCCATGAGAGGTGTGGCTACACAATTACATAATGTGAGGCTTCAGTCTCAGCTTTCGACAAGCAGCCACAATTGAAGTTCCACTGTTCTCAACAGTGGCTGAGAGTGAAGCTTCAAAAAATACAGTGTAGGGTGTTTTCTGATGAAGAAAGTGATGATGATGATGACCTATTCCTAGACAAGTGGTAGATACTATTAGTTTTCTATGTAAGCTGAGTCACAAAGCATGACATAGAATAGAGTCCATGTATGAGCTAAGTGAAGTGGCCCACATGTCTTGCTTCAGCACACTTTGCCAGGGGCAGAACTTGCACATCCAGCCCTCCATTCAGTACACACTACTCCTTTTTTGCACCCACCCTCCTCTCCCTCTCTCAGGTCCAATAAGCCTTTTCCCCCCATTTTTGCCCACAGGCAGACCATTGGCATCTAAGTTTCTCAAGTGAAGAGTAGACCTGTTCAGTACCCATCCCACCCTCACAGCTCACTCTTTGCCCTTAGATCCAGTAGCTCTTCCACACCAGAACACCCTTCAGGTTTTTGCCCATTCCCCTTTAGCCTTCATCACACAACTCTCTCACTTCTATCCCACTGAATCCATACACTAGTGCATGCATCCTTTCTTTCATTACTAGTGGAGTGTTGATGTACATGGAGTAGTATGTCAGGCTTGTATCTACATTTCCATGGCCATTTTTCATGATTCATTTTAATATATGCAAAGCTGTTAAATTACATCTTGGGCAAGTTTGCAGTGTCTTGGGTCCCAAGGGAGTCAATTACCAAGTCTAGTATTTACAGGTGCCTCACCCACCACCTTTCTGAGCATGACTGTCTGGCTTTCCATACAAGACAGAGTCCATGAGGTCTCTTGTAGGACAGTTCAAACAGAGGAAGCTATGAAGACTAGAAAAAGGAGTGTAACTAGTAGGGTCAGATATCATAGAGTGATGACTTTAGAAAAAAGGTATCTCACCTCAGCTTGAGTATGTCAAGACTGAGGTGTGTTTGAAAGGCAAAAACTAACACAAGCATGAGCATATTACATAAGGCTGTGTCACTGAATAATGAAGACAGAATGTGCCACAACATGCCCACTGAGCAAAACAAGTCCTCAAAAGCAATACCCATGCCACTAGAACATGTGAGATGTCTCTCACAAGACAGACCCTTGGTTAGGACATATGCACTCTGCTCAGTAGTAGGAACAAACTCAACAGAGATTTCACCCAAGTCAAGCTTCTCTTGAATAAAGTGGTACCAGATAGCAATGTGCTTTGCATGGTCATGAAACATTGTATTCCAGGCTAGGGAAATATGTATATTATGCAAGGTTCCCAAGTCTGCCAAAGAAGAGGGGAAGACTGGATACACCAATTACAAACATGTTATTTGGCATGAAGCATTCCTTTGTATCATTAATAGACTCACTGAACTCTTGAAGCTAGGATACAAATATGAGTGCTATGACAAGATCACTTGGTGGCTCTTTCCATTGATTCTCATCTTACATATCTGCTGACTATGAAGAACAGTAAGTTGAGGGCACTACAAGTGCATATTGGACATACTGATAATTATGTTGACATTAGATGCATGATGAGCCTAATTTGAGGCATGAAGAGTAAATGTCGATGCTCAGTTTGTTTGGTTCCCCTCAAGGAGTTATCCCAGCTTGCCAAATCATTTCCAATGCATACTGTCAAGGTCACACAACACCCCTGACTTCCTCTTAGGGTGGAGTAGGAGTGGGTTGGGCTGCAGAGTACAGCAGTCAAAGTCTGAAGTGAATCCAACCACTGGATGGTGAGATATTCAACAAACAGTGAGTGGAGGGGTATGGAGGAAAGTTTCGGAGACAGAGGTCAGAGTCAGAGGTCAGAGGTCAGATGAGAGGGTGTTGGGTTCAGCTAGTGTGCTGCCCCCTTGCACAAGCTCAGCCCTTGTATTTCAGAGGTAGAGCAGACTCAGAGGGAGTGGAGACAAAACTCTGGAGGGAACTGAGAGGGAGTTGGAAGTGGGGACTTTATTTGATATTTGTACTCATTACATTGGAGTACTATGCAGCCTTATATACAATGTAGGTCAAGGGTGGGGCAGTGTAGAATGCAAGCCAATAAATGTATAACAGGTTAGCAGTACCTCCAACACAAGGGATAGAGGATGGGGATGATGGGGGCCTTAACTGAGACAAGGGAACTACTACAATGAGGGAGAGAGGGTAAATACTGAAGGAGTGGAAGAATGGAGAAAAAACTGACACAAGGGCAGAACCCTATCTGGAATGCAGGGCTGCAAGTCTGACATCCCACCAAGCCAACCAAGGTCTCAGAGGAGGCACAGGCAAAGGTCTGGCCTTCACATGACTGGCCTGAGAGCAGAGGTGGGCAGAGTTGGTCAGAATATGGACAGGGGACCTTGGAGAGGTGTGGAGATATGTCAGAAGGGTCAGAGGAGCACAGGAATGCATTGGAAGAGGGCAGAGAAATGTGGGAACATGTGAGAAGAGGGCAGAGTAGGTGTTAGGGGCTTATGCTGGTGTCATGGTCATGACAACCATGTATCATGCTTGATATTCTGGGTGCTGACCCAAACTTGGACCATGAACCACTCAGTTTGTATTGATTGGCAAGAGTGCCTCACAGCATAATATGGCCAAAGTGTACTTATGTCTGTATGAGTGTGCTGGACATGTCATGCCTTACCTTGTGGTCAGCAAGGTCCAGAAACTGACAGAGAGGTCACATCCTGGAAATTGTGGTAAGCATGATTCACAGATGGCAGTCATGCATTTCTTGAACAAGGTATGTTGGTTCACATTTACATGAATTGTTTGGCACCAACAGCAGGTTTTTAAGTGCATTACAATACACTGATGAATCCCTTTGAGCTCTAGATGTATCACCAGATCAAGAACATCATTGGAATCAACCTGACATTTTATGAGTATCTATTTACTGTTGATGCAGATATGACTGCAGAGCTGTACACACTTAACCACCTCATTCTGCAGAAGTCATGTCATACTGCTTGGTACCAGGGGAATCAAGGAAGCTGAGTGGCCATATGATGATTCTTGACAAGAAAGTCCTTGGTGGGTGTGGTGAAATATCCCTTGCCAATGCCAAACAGTGGGTTTTGATGATGATGCAGGTGCATATAGTCCCTGCAATTTTTTTGTTGGTGTGAGGGCTGAGGCTGGTTCATTAGGTGTATGAGTACTTCATCTCCCATCACATGGCCAAGGCATTTGAGAGTCTGTTTGGCTTGGTCACTGGCTTGCCTGGCTGTTTCACCCTGTTCTGTCTGCACACACCAGACATGCACAAGCCCCATCTTGTTTCTAACCAACTTGCCCAAGATTATTCCCAGAATTGTGTCAATACCTTACACATGAAGAACCTGCTTCATCTCAGAGAAGATCATTATTTAACAGCTCTATTGTTCAAACACTTCCCAATGTACAAGACACAATTTGTCTGGGATGCTCATGTGGAGATGGTCACTCCAGATGATTGGAATGTTCTGCTCTCACAACATCATCATTGGATCAACTTGACCATTCATACTCTTGGTGAACTCATGTTCCTGGATCAGCTTTGTGGTTTCTGTTGC